CGGCAGCTGCAGGGCTGGCCAGAGCAGGCACAGGCAGCCCCAGGCCAGCTGCAAGCTGCTGTCGTGCGGGGAACCGGGCGGGGAGGGGCTGCTTTTCCCCGTGCTCAGCGCTAGATGCTTCTCTGTTGGCAAGCAGGGGATCAGGGCTGTGCGCTGCCCCCTGCCTGTACCACGGGGCTGGGGAGCCCTGGGTGCGAGCAGCCAGAGAGCCAGTGGGAGCATGGGGCCTGCACCAGTGTCCTGGGGCCAGTGCCGGTGGGGCCCAAAGCAGGGTGGCAGAAGTGTGGGGTCCCAGGCGGCAGGGCCTCTATGGAGCTGGGCCAGCTCCCCCCTCCCTGCTGGTGCAGCCCAGCCCGGCTCCACAGACCCCTGCCGGCCTCTGCCCCGCTCTGGGCCCTACCAGTGCTGGCCCTGGGACATTGGTCCCAAGATGGTGACCAGGGGGTGGGGCACCTGTCAAGGGGTGGGACTACCCACGTGGCCCTTGACAGCCTGCCAAAACTGGGTAAGCGGCCCTCCACCCAAAATAATTGCCTGCCCCTGTTTCATGTACTCCCCAAAAGATTCATCCTGTAATAAATGAGTTGCTGCAGCAATCTTCAGTTTTCAGATAAACTGTAACCCCACGGCTAGTGCCCTTATATAGCTAATCTTGCAGTGACAAAGCATTAGATGCTAGCTTGGAGGTTCATGACTAAAAGCAATGAATGCTATCCCTATCCATATAGGTGTAAAAAGGCTGATATGATTATAGGTGCTAGAAGTAGCAAGTTCTTTGGACGGGGTTACACCATGTCAGCAGCAGGCTCTGGCCAGGAGGGCTCCATGCATACACACCCACCCCTCCTGTTCACATGATCCAAACCCCAAAATGCACCACTGAAGATGCTATAGGTCCGCCCCCTGTGGCTGCTCTCGTTATCTCAGTCTCGGAGTAAACTAGATGGCAATTACTGGGAAAGACCCTGGAGCATCTTCATTGGTGTATTTTTGGGTTATAAGCAGGAGTGGCTGGACAGACCATGATTACAGTAGTCCAGGCCAAGGACACACTGCTTTCAGCATGCAGAAATGCCCTTTGATTGCACACCTACTCTGCAAGCAGCTGGTGGGCCCCTCAATCAGAGGTAGCAATATTAGAAAGCAAAAGAAAAGCTTGCATGACTGAAATAGATCTCATTTATATCAATTTAAAAAAAAAATCAAGATTTCAGAGCCACCCCCTAGTTAAGACATTCATATGCAGTGAGCTTTAGATGCCACGGGCCTTTGTCAGGGTTTGAGGAACAGAGCTGGTGGCAAAGCTAGTAAACAAACCAACACCTTTTATTTACCAGCATTTGTCTAAATTTTAACGCCAAATTTGCAAAAAGGCAACAGCTTTGTTTCTTTCCCTTACAATTTTGCAAAGTGCTTCCAGAAATACTTGCCTGCCCCCCACCCCCATCCAAAAAAGACATCTCAGTATTTGCTGAAGTAGTGAAGCAGCAGATGGCTTGCGGCCGTGGATCCTAGTCCAGGGAGTTCAATACTGCACCAAAGACGGGATTAAGCAGCAGTGTCCCACAAAGCAACATTGCTTTAAAGGTGAACTTACTCAATGAAGCAAACCAGAGCTCCTACTGTGCAGCTAAATAGTGCTGAGGCAGCAGTCCACCCACATACAATCAATGGATTGGGAACCAAGTGCCTGTCCTCTTTGCACATAATAAGCCTGATTCACCACTGCATTGCACCCATTTTACACTCCTGTAATTCCACAAAACTGGCATAAAATGGTGAAAAACAGCAGTCAATCAGGCCCTACCTAATGTGTTATACAAAGGAGTGAGAGAAGAAGCCTAAGAGCTCTCACAATCTCCACAGTGCTGAGAAATTCTTAATAAAATGGGCCTTTTCCCAATAGCATTGGATTTCATAGAAAAAAAACAGGATCCATTTGCTACTCCTTAAAAGTGTTTTAATACCATATACTTGTGACTGAGCCACAAAACAAGCAGCTTTTCACATATGTATTTTATGACAAAATAAATCACAGCAAGTTCTCAACTGAATTCTGGATTTATAAATCTGCTGCTGTTAATGTAGACTTGAATAGAAATTCAAGCCTACATCATACTGCTGTTAACAAACAGCCACAAAGTTAATACATTCAGCAATTTTTTTATTCAGATAGACTTGTTGCTATACTGGGTTGATCTGATTCTACTCCCGGCTTTTCTCCTGTGTTATCTTAGGCAAACTGTAGCATCTCTGAATTGAAGCCTCACTATCAGTAATCTGCAATACATGCCTATCTCATAGTAGTGTTGTGAGAGTTAATTCAGTATTTTTACACCACTTTTCAATTAACAGTGCCACTTCATGTGCAAAGTAAATGTATAAAATAGAAAACGTGCATATGGGTGAAAGGAAGGGTGGCCAATGAAAGTATTCCAGCATGAACTTCCTTCACTATCAGTAACATACCTTCCTTCTTTATTAACATGATGATACCCCCTTTGGCGCAAACAGATTCAAGATATGGACAAATGTACACTTTAGCTGCTTTAAGAGGGGGAGTGGTGGCTGCAAGAAGCTGCTATTATAATCTGTTATATTTGCATGATCCTGTAGTGATACAAGTTACCTAAACCACCCCTAGTCTGATTCTGAATGAAACAGGTTAAAGTTGGGGTGGTTTTGCTATCTTTGTATCATTACAAATTAATGTGGATGTATCAGTTGCACCATAACTGATTATATAAAAATATGTTGATATTGATGCAATTACTACATTTGTCTATGCTCTGAGTTACCACTGAACAAAGGTATACATTATTTTCCCAGCTACTCTTAAAAATAAAAGAAATAACAATTTCAGTAACTGAAATTAGTCTGTTTCTTAAAATACAGCTGCATATTTCACAGACTTGTTAAAGAAAGTAGAAATTTATCAGTTTATGCTGTATTTTTCCTTGTATTTCTATCCTTCTTTACAATTATATCTTCTCAATTTCAGCTCCTTACAATTAATATATAGTAGCACACTTTCCCCTATCCCTCTTTCCCCTTTTCCAAAAGCTCAGAATATCCTAGGTGGGACAACAATGGCAAGTTATAACAAGGCCTGACAAGGCCCTGATTAATGAGAAAATCGGAAGGCCATTTTTTCCTACATGGACTGTTTTAATAGTCTGCAAGCTTTGTGGTGCTATTACTATTCTTGGCTACAAGGGCAAAACCACTGCATCTTAACAAAAGCTAAACCTGTTTGGATCAAGAGCACATCCCTGATATGGAACTCTTGTCTGAACCCTGGAGAACAATCTTTTGCTGGTAAATTAGGATAATAAGCAGCTTTTGTCCATGGTCCAGCATTAGGAGAAAAATCTCAGTGTCTTATGCTCTCACTAACAATTGTAAGAATAACCAGTATGAGCACAGCAAAACACTCTTGCTGAATTCTGATTTAAGTCTGGTTTTATTACCACCCTATATACAGAATCCACCGAAAATCTCTCTCATCATCAAATCTTTACAGGTAGAAATACCTGAAAAATGCTAGCACACAACTCTTTTTTTTAAAGTACCACAGAACATATTGCAATTCTTGAACTAGTAATATTCAATAAAATTCAAGTGTACATTCTCCTGAAAGGTTTGAATGAGTAAGAGGTAGCACAAGTGACAAGATGGCAGGACAATGTGGCAAGACTGTTCAATCTTTGTCATCACTTGATCCTCAAAAAGCAAATCAGACGAAAGTAGATTTGTATTTAAACAAAGTTATCAGTACCACTTTTATAGCATTAGAAATGCTGTATTGTTCCCAACTTATTTAGCTGGGTCACTGCTATGTATTTAGGTCACAGGACAATTACTGGGTTTTAGGCAGTAAAAACAAATGTAAGGAAATCATAATACAGCATATATACAAATGACAGTGCTGCTTATATTAACAGAATACAGATACTGGATGGAAAAGTTTAGTGAAGAGTTGGCTCAAAAGAGGACACATGTATAAGGCCTAAGGAACAACGGTAGCCGCAGTAACTAAAGTAGAAATAGAATGATCTAAAAACAAGCATGTTTTAATCTATGACCATTATATCAAATCTGTACAGTAGCAACAGCAATACACTTGATAAAAAACCACAAAAAGAGATAAATCACTTTAAACAAGATACAAGAGAACTTATTTTCTTCATGCCAAATTTTTGTGAACACTGATTAATCTACAGTGTACAAATACATCATATCAAATCAAATACATCATATCAAATACAAGCATATATACCACATGCAGTAGTGAAAACTATGTGGCTAATAAATTAAGTCATGATATACCTTCGGTTCACCTGCAGGCTGTCCATCTGTCCATCAATTTCTATCAGCTAGTGATTGAAATGGGGTGATACCTTGACTCCCCTGAAGTTAACGGCAGGTTTAACCCTGACTTCAACAAAGACAAAATTTCATCCACTGTGCTTCAAACTGCTGCCATTAAAAAAATCTCAATGTTTAAGAGGAATACTCATTTCCCCCTAATTTGGGATTTCTTCCAAAATTACTCTGACCTGAGGCCTAGGATGAGCCATGTGTAGTCCTAGAGTGATGACATATTTAAAGTCAGATATATAAAACTGTAAAGGATTGGAAATGGGACCATTATAGAGCCAAAAGGAAAACTCTGGGTTTCCTAACGGAACAGACAGTGCTTGTATGCAGCTTTGGAAGACCCAGAAATAATAAGACTTAAAAGCTCTTATACTTTTGTGCATAAAACAAATATTTTGACAGGTTTTTAAAACATTTTAGTCATTTTTCCTCTTCCTCTGAAACTTCCACGTAATGAAGTCATCTAGCTTTACAGGCAGAAATATACAAATGGGGAGGGGAAGGGCAGGGGGAGAAGGAAGTTTTGCTTTTTAAACACTGATGCTATCTGAAACACTTCTAAAATACTTTTTTTGTAAAAGATATGGCACATATGGAATATACCATGGCATAGCATAAAGGTTTATCAACACTTGTTTAGGAAGAGCTATTTAGTTTTTCATGGCTTTGCTACTCTTTAATGAGGGAGCCAGGCATGTTAATTAGATTTCTTTCACAATGTAACAGTGCCTACAGTGTTTCTCTGCTTAGTTGTTGCAATGTTTCTGCATGCATTTCCCCTTACAAACAGATTTCATAACTGTCTACCTAAAGCTTCTGTAAAGTTCCCATTTGGTAAATAATTCAGTAACTGTTTCATAATAGAGCGCGTATTTCTAGACAATTAAATTAGCAATGAAAAAAGACCCATCAGAGGTACAAAATGATAAATTATTGGCAACCTGAGAGAAGGCAGGGAAATAAGCCTGTAATTAAACCCTTCCCCTCCACCACTCCTAAAATATGTATTCAGGTTGTTCACAATGGTACAATACATACACTGAAAAGATTTTTATGATGTTTAATGTCCAGTGCTTTATCAAAATATAGCTTGTCTTATCAATTTTCATTCAGATCCAGTCACAACAAAGTCATCTGGACCATCTAGAATACAAAATATCTTTGATAAGCTAAAGAAGGCACAGACATATCAACATGCAAACATTTTCAAGTAACAAAAATTCGTAGAAAAGTTACAGCAATCTAACTGCTCCATACTCATGCAAAATGATTGAAACTTTATTTAAAAGTCCAAAAAGTATTTGGAGTAATTTTTTTTTTCAGGCTTCTAAGTCCCATTCTCAAAAGGAACTTGGGGCCAGATCCAGATCAACTTCACAGGCACCTCTACTTAGGTGTCACAAAGCCTAATATGAAGATGTCATGCTCTATGTTTTAGGATGATGTTCTAAATTGAAAGAGGGAAGTGCCTATAAAAAGCAGCAGCCTAGGTGCCTTCAAATGCAATCCAGAGCACATAGCTGTTGAGCAGACAGGTGGCTACCTCCAACCCAGTGATCCTCAACTAGCGTGATGCAAAATTCTTTAAAGGGAGCCAGCCCTGAGCTGTGAGAAGATAAGTCAGGCGTGAGGAAATAAAACGGATTGGGTGCATCCGCACATGCAAGCACATGCACTTGCAGCAGCTCGGATAGCAGCAGCACAAATTTGTGCCGGAGATTTGTGCCTCAGCACATGTGCCTGAACATGCCCTTTGGTGTGGGGCAAACTCTGCCACTTGGGACAAACTGACCCTGCCCAGTTCTCCCTGGGTCTTCTGCCAGGGGGAGCTAGAGGCTGGGGCCAGCACCTCTGCTGGCCCCAGCAGTATAAAAAGCTGCCCTGGCAAGCAGCTCAGGGCTACTTGCTCTCCGGAGCTTCTGTCCCAGCCAGTTGGTATCTGGGGACACTAGCTTCTTGTGCCAGCTGGACAGCTGAAGCAGCCCTAACCTGGAGTGGTCCCTGTACCCTCTACCCACTGCAGCAGTCTGACAGTGGGGGTTGCTGCCTGGCTGTGACCTGCTGCCACCTGCGACAGCATCCGCCCCCTTGGACCTGCTGGACCATGGCTGTGCACCTGCTAGACCCAGATGGGGATCACACGGCCACCTGAGCTGTGGTAAGGGCATTGCAGAGCCTCCTGCACCTCTGGGCCAGCTGCCACTGGACCATGGCGGCATAGTTGGCCTTTGTGTGACACTGCTGTCATGTGTTCTGTTGCCCTCAGCCTGCCATCTGGACAGCTATCACCTGGAAGGTGTGCTTGTTGTGATGGCCCGCTATGAACTGTTGAAGTGTGTCTGCCTGGCCCCAAATGACCAGGAGGTCAGCTATCTCATCTGCCCTTCAGCTCCTCTGCCCAGGTCCTGCCACTTGACTCACCAGCAAGGATCCTGATGTCCCATATTTAAAATTTGCAAATTCTCTGATGAAAAAGCCTAGATTCTCTCATTAAAATACCTCAAATCTGCATTCTTCTGTGATTAAAATGAAATGCCACTATACATAGAGAGATCAGTTGGGCAATTTTTTTTTTTATATATTTACAATTTTAAAGCAATCTGAAAGCCTACCAGTGCCTCTATCATCATAATAAAATTAATTCTAAATATCTATACACTTTGGTGTTTTCTTTTGTTTTTTTATCATAGAAAAATCAGAGTTGCCCCTGCCCCCTTCGCTCATCAGGATGCGGGGCACTGAGCAGCACTGAGATCCCAGTGCCCTGTCCCTGCCTTGCCCCTCACTCCCAAACCACAGTCGTCCACCAGTGCTCCTCACTCCTGACCCACAGCCTCTGCCTGCCCACTCTAGCTCTCTTCTGGCAGCAGCTCTGTCCCAGCACCAAGACGTGAGTCCAGCTGTAGCTGTCCCACCTGCTGCTTTGTGGCTCGGAGCAGTGCCAGCCCTTGCTGTTCTACTCCCTGTGCCTGTGCCCAGGCCACAGTGATCTCCATGCCGTGACTGGGAAGCCCTCATCTGGGTCTCAGGGACTGGCCTGGACAAGCCCCTTCTCTTCCAAGCTGGCCTCCCCCTGCACAGGCTGCTCTGGGGGTACACGGGGGCTCTAAGGCCGCTCTGGCAGCCTCTCCTACCCAGAGTGTTCCCCCACCCCTGACCCCCAATTCTCTCTCACACACACCCCCACTGCCTCTTCCACCCCTCCCCCCCAGCCCATCACACCCCCTGAGTGGTTCCTGGGACCAAGAGCCCCCCCTAGGCTGGGGCTGCATGTCCCAGCATGGGTGTGGGCACAGGGCAGGGCTGCAGTGTGGCAGTTGCCCCTGCAGCCAAAGCTCCTGCCAGCAGGTCCCATCCCGTTTGGCGGCTGGGCACACGGTGTGAGATTTGCAAGGCGGTGTGAGTGTAGGGTTTGTGGGTGGGTGGAGGGGTGGCTGTGAAGTTTGTGGGGAGGTGAGGGGTTTGTGGGTGGATTGTGTGGGGTTTGTGGGTGGGGTGTTTGTGGGGGTGGTTTGTGGGTGGATTATGTGTGTGGAGGGACTGCGTGAAAGGTGGGTCCCCCACCCACCTCTCTGCATGGCACACAGCCACCTCTACAACAGCAGCTTCCAGCAGCAGGACATCAGGGCACTCATAGCCCACTGCTGGCAGAGATCCCCAGCAGCATGTGAGGCGCTGCCTGAGTCCCAGGGGCTCCATGTAGTGCATGGAGCTGGCTTGGTCTGCTGGCATGTGCCTTCAGTCAGGACCAAGCCAGCTCTTGTTGCCACCCAGGGCTCCTGGCACCACAGACAGAAGCTGTGCGCCATCGGGCTGGGCTCGCTCCTGCCTAGATATTCACTAGTTATTATAATGTCTTTTATAATAAAACTGTATTTTAGCACTGCATAAAGTAAATATATTCCTTTAAGGAAAAGATAAATAAAGGAGTGATGGTTTAAAAAGCATCAGGAAGAAAATTAGCTTTACTTATTTTAGGAATGAAAGATGGAGGTTATTGATTAGACTTTATATGTAAATAAAAGGGTACAAAAATTTTGATAGCAGATGGCTTTTATTCCAGCAGAAGAAGATAAATGTAATCTAATGGTTAAATACTTAAGTTAGACAAAAACAACTGGAAAATAAGGAATGTATTTTAATAGAATGGGAACTTTAATCACTTAACCAAGAACCCAGTGATTTCTTCATCACATGAAGTCTTTAAATTATGGATGTCTTTAAATAAATATTTTTAGCTCAACTGGAAATTTGGGGCTTGGTGCAGAGTGAAATTCTATGGCTTCTGTTATGCAGGAGACTAGATCAGCTGTTCATAATCGTACCTCCAGTCATGATAACATATGCATTACATCAGGGGTGGGCAAGATGCGGCCCTCCAGGCTATTCTATCCAGCCTGTGGGGCCCCTAAAAAATTTAGAAAATGAATAGCTATCTGCCCCTGGCTGCTTGTCATGTGGCCCTCGATGGTTTGCCAAAACTCAGTAAGTGGCTCTCTGCCCGGAATAATTGCCCGCCCCTGCATTACATACTCATTTGAACATCTAACCCAGGGGCGGGCAATTATTTTGGACAGAGGGCCACTGACTGAGTTTTGGCAAGCCATCAAGGGCCGCAGGACAGGCAGCTAGGGGCAGATCAACATTAATTTTCTAAATTTATTAGGGGCCCTGCGGGCCGGATAGAATGGCCTGATGGGCTGCATCTGGTCCGCGGGCCGGATTTTGCCTGCCCCTGATCTAACCCTTATGTAGGCAAAGCCTCTATTAATATCACAGCCAGGATAAGTACTACAGAATATGGTTCCTGCTTGACAACTGCAGGGCCCCTGGCCAGACATACAGGCAAAGGCACAATGGGATAGGATGCGTGATCCACACAACCATGTTTCTTGCCATGTCACACATGCATGGAAGGAAGCGTGATTGTGGGGTTAAGCATCTCCATCAAGCCGTACTGCTGGTGCAGGGGGAGTCTGGGATCATGGGCAGGTTCCTGTGGCTGGGAGCCCTGTCAGTTTATCCAGGTTCCCAGCCGTGGGGGTGCAACTGGCTATATGTTCAATTAATGGTGTGACAGGAACCAGCCATAAATTTATTACACATTTGTATGATTACAATTACAATTATAATTTGACCCCATTAACTTTGTGGCTTATTCCTTGTTTTATGATGCCATTAATTGCTTTAATGTGTGGCCAAACTACAATTTAAGATGTGATTAACCGGTTAATCACATCTTAAGTGTAACATGGTGGCAGGTTTACTAACTTTATTTTTATAATAATCTGAAAATAAAATGTTGGGTATAAAAAACTATCCGGTTAACTATACTTAAAATATAAAACACATCAGAGGTACAGCTACTTTATGAATAATACTAGAGTTGATGGCAATAAGAAAATATACTCACTAATATAAAGGAGATGATAGTAGATGCTAACCAAGTGATAACAAAGGAAAAATAATCTGAGTTTTCTGTCCAACATGACTAAGAATAAGCCTAGTTCCTCTGTAAAGATGCAGAGGTTAACTCATGTACAGTCCTATAGACTTCAATAGAAGTGAAGTCATATGCAGTACTGGCAAGTTTTTTAATCCCTATAGTATGCCTAAACATAAAAATAGAAAAGATATAAAATGGTGAGAACTGCAAGCAAGATATGTTCATACTATTTCCTACAATGTGAGATATGCTGGTATTAAATATTTGGGGGAAACAGTTATTTCTTTTAAATGCTAGACTGGGCTTTAAAACAAGGAGAACCTTGAGCTGTTCATACTCAACCACTGTCTTAGTGGTTGTTTATCAAAAATCAAGCCAATCAAAAATATTGAATTTACTGTATTCAGTAGCCAACTGCTAATTCTTTTAAGACTGAAGAATAGGAAGAGAACTCTTACACGATGGGTGCAGTATTTCTCCAGATTTGGCATATGTATTATCACGGAATATTCATGTGTCTTTATTATTGTAAGAGCTTCTTTTGAATTATGACATTTTTATCAGACTTATGAATGGCATCTTATCCTTTTGTCATTGTTTGGTTGTCTCCTTATCCTGTTGCTCAGTTCTTTTTTTGGACTTCATGCTTTGATTTTTTTTAACCCTATATATCCTGTCTAAAGGGAAAGGGAGATTCTTACATATCTCAATGCACTGAAAATGTTACAGTTCAAAAATACAGATATGGTGGCTCCAAAATACATAAATGGGAAAAAAAGTAACAATCAATTTTATAAACTTCTATTTAAGCCAATTCAATTTACAGACTTCTATAAAGCTAAGGAAAATATTACATAGTTGAAGATGACAGTAATGAAGACTGTACTTGAATTCCCACTCTCCCAGGCAGGGAGGGCTGGGAGTCGCCAGCAGGGGGCTTATCTCTAATGCCCCCTAGCTCAGGCCTGGGAGTGGGTCAGGCCAGGCTGGGGTGTGTGGACAGTTGCTTAGCAATCAGAGCGCACCTCCTGCATGAAGGTACAGGCTTGCAGAGGGGAGCAAGGGGTAGGGCTTACAGAGGGGCCCTGCAGGCCGGACGGAATTGCCTGGCAGGCTGGATTCGGCCCACAGACCATATTTTGCCCACCCCTGACCTAGAGGCACACCTGAACCTTTTATGGCCCTGCCTTTGCACTACAGATGTATAAGCATGCATGCAGAGATTATGAATGCTTAGTAGGCTACGCACATACATGTGTACCTGACTAAGTCCAGAAAGGCTGGAAGGAAGGGAGGAAGGAGACATACCACCTGGGTTCCAGGCCTCAAAATAAAGCAAGCTTAGCCTTAGCACAAAAAGGACTAGCTAAAGTACCTGCAGCTTTCAGTGATTTCACCTGAAGCTCAGTTAAGTGCTCAGCTCCTTTGTCAAGCCCAGGACTCAGTTGTAGGAACAACAATGCTGACCATGAGATATATATAACAATAGAACCCAGATAATGTGCAGCCAGCTGGTTTGTGACCTGCTTAGTCCACAACAGTTGTCAAATTAAAGAGGAGCTGCTCAGCTGTTTGCTTCAACTTGCTTCAAAGGGCATTGCTTCTCCAATCAGTTGGAGCTCATCAACCATCCTACAGAGCTGATCAGAGAAGCGACACCCTTTGAAATAAAAACTGCAGCAAACAGCTGGAGTGCCTCAGTAGTCCTGCACAGCTGTTTGCTGCAGGTATACATACCTCCAGATCATCCACAAATCATCTTTGCAGAGGAGCAAGAAATTATCTAAGTTCTATTGTATCATCTTATTCAGACATCCTTCTGCACTCTGAACTTCCATTATTTACCGTGGAGTAAATTGGAATCTTCTCCTCTGGTCTTGATGTCGTGGTCGGTATCCTCTACCTAGGAGAGATGAGAATAGAGTATTTTTCCCTTCATATTCAAGGAGAAAAACAAATAATTGGTGAGAGTATTTAAAAGCCAGCAGGTATAACTTGAAAGCAGACCATTTCCCTGTCTCTCACTGCAACAAGACCTCACCATTTTTTATTCTATATACCTTCTACAGTAAGTAATTACTCTGGTATACAATTAAGAATAACATTTTTAAATTTAGGAGGCTATCATTAATAATGGAATTACTTTTCTTAAAGCCATTAGGAAAGTTATCTGCACAATTTATGTACTTCTAAATACTAGCCCAGCCAATTACTTGGAATTGTACATTGTGTAATCGTACAGAATGATCTGCATAGCTGATTGTGCAAACTAAGTAAAGAACAATGTGCTACTTAAAACTTTTCCTCATAGCAGTTATACTGCTTTACCTGTATTGTAGTTTTATCCTAAATTTACAGATCTAAATTGTACTGAAATAACTGTTTTTAAACTGGCATAACTGCAACCTTATTGAGAGACAATACTGCTTTAATAACATCAGTTTCCATAGGCATAACAAAGGTTTGTAGACCAGCCTTTACCTCTGCAATAAAGTATAGTGAGGTCCTGCTTATGCAAAAGTTCAGCTGGCATTCACCAGAATTAATGTATAAAGTGTTTATACAGTGTTATGAAGGACATGATTAATGGATGGATACAGTTTATATTTTTAATTAAGTTTTGTATAGAGGCAGAGTAAAGGTAGTTTGAAATTAGTTTGTCTGCTGGTTATTGATTTTTTTTTCTGCTTGTTCAAATGAGTGATGAGGGCAGTGACACCACTGTTTATATAATGTATGTTTGTGATTTCCATAATTCTTAATGTTTGTTTTATTTTTACTGATGCATGCAATGGTACAACTTATTCTGGTTTTGATTCGCATCTGAAATAGCAATTATTAAGTTTTGTCTAGGCATATGCTATGTGATCCTGTCTGCATAGAGCTGGAAACTGTGTTACTCTAACCAGTTTAAAGTAGGTTTAAAACTGGTTTAAGATAACCTAGTTGATTAAGATCAAACTATGTTCAATGCAAATTTAGCAACAGTTCTCTGCTTTAAGCTCTATTTTTCAAACCGAAAACTCAAAAACAACAAAACAATATGGATAGGAAAGTTTGCAGCTCACAGAGGATGGAAGCCATACCTAGGATGCCCAAACTTTCCTTTTCTACATGCTACTTTGGCAGCGTGTTTGAAGCCTGAAGGTAAAATATGTGAAAAATGGAGCCTGTAGATAACTTGTATGCATAGCTGTAATCTACTGACTCTACAGTTCCCAGAGGGAGATGAGGGGCTGTCCTGCTAAGGAGATTAAACCCTCATGCCCAAATTTGGTGAGGCTACCCAGTGTGGGGGGACGAGGCTCCCAGAGGGGGGAGGTAAAGGGCTTCCCTTGCCAGGGTCTTTAAACCCAGCACCCCACAGCTCTGGCAGAGCTTCGAGGCATGAGGAATCAGAGGTTCATAGAAGGATGACTGAAGGGCCGATGACGTTAAACCCTGCACCCATGGTTTAAAGTCCCAGTGAGGAAAGCCTTTCAGCTACCACCACTGGGAGCCTCTGGTCTTCTGCACCTGGCCAGCCCCGTCACAGCTGCAGGATGTGGGGTTTAAAGTCCTAGGGGGAAAGCCCTCAAATGGACATTAGGCTGACAGTCAGCTGACTGTTGACTCCAGCCCTGGGAGAGCCAAGGGTCTCAAACTCACTCAGGGCTTTCCTTGCCCCAGTCCTAGCCCCATGACAGCCCTGAATCATATGAAGACTGGGGGGACCTGGCTTTCAACTTACTGATGCAGGAGGTACCTGGGATCAAGATCCTGGGCTCCCCCTGCACTGACAAGAAGAAAGGGCACAATTAGGATCTGATCACACCACCTGCCATACATGTGTGATATGGCAGGAAGCACAACCGTTGGGATCCAAGATCAGAACCCAGGGTGCCTTTACATGAAGGTGTCCTTGAGGCCTTAGCCCAGGGGCGGGCAATTATTTTGGGCGGAGGGCTGCTTACCAAGTTTTGGCAAGCTGTCGAGGACTGCATGGGTAGCCCTGTCCCTTGACAGGTGCTCCGTTCCCTGGTCGCCATCTTGGGACCAGAAGTCCTGCCCCTAACCTCTGAACTTTGCCACTGGAAGTCCCTCCCCTTGCCCCTGGAAGTACTCCTTTGGGGAAGAGGGTTTGCCATCTTAGGGGGAAAAAAAACCAAATGACATACTAAAAATCAAAAACCCATAATCATATATTTTAATTTAATTAAAAAAATTGTTTTGTCCTGATTTGTGTGCGTTTGTGGTGTATATGCAGAAGTGACTGCATATGGGGGTTTGTGGGGATGTGTGTGTGTGGGTATGGATGGAGGTATGGGAGCCATGTAGTGCAGAGTGGATGGCTGGCAGGCAGGAAAGTGGGGAAAGCGGCAGGGGGGAGTGGAAGTGAGTGGGAGCATGGGACCTGCACCAGCGGAGCCCAGAGCAGGGTGGTTGGAGACAGGGGTCTGTGGATCTGGGCTGGGCTGCACCAGCAGGGAGAGGGGGGAGCTGACCTGGCTCCATAGAGCCCCTGCTGGCCGGGACTCCTGTACTCCTGCTGCCCTGCTCTGGGCCCCACCAGTGCTGGCCTTGGGACACCAGTGCGGGCCCCATGCTTCCGCCCCGCTGCTGCTGGCTCCTGCGCGCCTGCTTATTTCCTGTGCCCCTGCCCCACCTCCAGAGTACAGGCTGGGAACAGTGGGCAGGCCCGACCCCACACGCCCCATGCTCGCCCGTCTGGACTGAGCAGTGGTGGCAGAGAATGAGCTGGTCCTCAGTGTGGGGAGAAAGTGGTCGCTCCCCCACCCTGTGGCCGGCGCCCTGTGCTGCAGCCACTTGGAGCCTGCACAGGGCTGCCTGCGGTGATGTGGCAAAGAAGCAGGACAGCCCTGTGTGGGCTGTGAGTGGCTGTAACACGGGGCTCTGGCCATGGTGAAGGGGAGCAGCCACTTTCCCCCTGCACTGAGGACCAGTTTACTCTTCACAGGCAAGGGCAGGGTTGGGGCTGCATGCTGCTCCCCACCCATATCACAGGGCCGGGGCACTGGGAGTGAGCGGGTGTGAGGGAGCCAGTGGCAGCCAGGCGGGAAGTGGGGCTCACGCTGGTGTCCCAGGACAACCGCTGACAGAGTCGACCAGGGTGGCAGGAGCGCAGGGCCAGGTCAGCACGGTTCTATGGAGCTGGATCAGCTCCCCGCTCTCCCTGCTGGTGCATCCCAGCCTGGCTCCATAGACCCCTACCAGCCCACACCCTGTGCACCTACCGCCCTGCTCTAGGCTTTGCTGGTGCTGGCCCCAGGACATTGGTGCAAGCCCTATGCTCCTGCTTGCTTTCACTCCCTCCCTGCCCCCGCCGCCACTTTCCCGCCTGCCTGCCAACTCTTGGCTGCATGCCTGGACTGTGGGGCTCAGCAGGAGCCAGCTGAGCCCCGAGGGCTGGGGCAATCCCCATGGTCCTCCCTTCCCTCCCCCAACTTCTTACCTGAATTTCCCGCATTGGTGCAACCATGAACAGCCCCATGGTCCCAGGCTGGGGGCAGGGCTGGGCAGAATTTATAAATTATTCTGCACCCCCAAGAGCCTATACAATCTGTTTTACATGATCCCTGGGCCTTCTGGTGCTTCATCCCATACTGATGTCTTCTGCCACTAACAGTAATGTCACCACAACCTACTTCCCTCCTGGGCCACTGTCCTGAGTTTCCTTAAAATCTCTTCCCTGCTAAATCAATTGGTATTGCTGATGAGTGAATTAAAGTCAACTCCTGCTAAGGAAGACCAATGGAGGCCAAGACCTTGATCCAGCAAAGCACCTAAGCATATATTTACATTTTAGCACATAATTGACTTATTGGATTATTGGAAACTAAAGACAATTTTTATGCACTGAAGTACACTTCTTTAACTACTAAAACTTCTAAAAATTTTTAGCTGGGACAAGGCATGGAAAGTTTTGGCTCTGCATAAAGGAATTTTTCAGAAAGTAATAAGCATGTGAAAGCTCTGAGCTATAATGCAATTTGTACATAAAATCGTAGGATTAGCTTCTGCTGATTTTAACACACTAATTTCATTCACACAATGCAGTTTTACTACAGAATAACAGTTTCTAATGTATTGGATTTCTTTTTTACCTGAAGGTTGGGTCTGAGAGCCATAAGGCTGGAGCCCTCTCCACTGATATCCCCTGTTCTGATTACGGTATGGAGGAGCAAATGTAGTTCTGTGCGCTCGCTGAAAATTAGCGCCCCTTCCTCTTCCTTGCATTTCTGAAGAATAATATTTGCAAGATGATATTGAATGTATACAGAATGTAATAAGCAAAGTTACAATCTGTTCAACATTTTGAGAAAATAACATTTTAAGACAGATGTGCTGCAATATTCATGGGCAGTTTTGATTACCTTAAATTAATTAGCTTCCCTCTTATAGTTAGCCCATTACTTCTCATTCTGTGAACATGCTCACAGCTGAGTTTCCATAACAAGAATCTTAGAAACCATGCTGAAACTATTCTGGTGGTAGATAATAGCACAAATTTGGTTATAACAACTATTAAAAATAATAATAAATCTGTCCATGTCAGAGCCTCCCATCATAATGGAAACAAGTCAGCATGATTCTAAAGCCATGGCAAACACTAATATAGTTTGATACTCTGCCGCTGAAAAGGTCTTATTTGGTTATTTTAATACACTTCCACGAGACCTTTGTTATCTATCCAGTATCAGGTCTTAGAAATATATGTGCTCACAAAACTGTGACCACTTTTTAACAATGGGACAAAGAGATGTAGAGATAAAAAGTCAAAAAGCCAGTAGAGAAGACAACATTTATGCACAAATCTAATAGTGCTGTACATATTACAGTTATCAAGAAGTTAACATCCGCTTACATAAAATAAAGCACCCCAAAACCAACTTAAAAAAGAGGGGAGAGAAAGATTCTACTTGCATTTGTGTGCAAATCTGATAAATATCCCAGGTATCTCTTATTAGGTTGATAAGATCAGCAGAGCTTTGCATTTGCATTTCATCAATAAATAGGTACAAAAACTAATAGTCTAACAACAGTATTCTAAAATGCATATGCTGGCATTAAATTGATGACAATTAATAAGCTTTAAACAGAGAAAAAGTGCAAAGTATTTTCAAGCATCAACAAGCTCAGAGTGCTCTCTGAAAAAATAAATGTATTATCTGAATCCTTCAATGCTACTATGCTGAAAAATTGTTCCTTAAAGCAGAATGGGAAATCTTGAGTCATCTAACCACTACAGGGCACAAATGACTTTACTACTAAGTAAAAGAACAGTGTTCTAACAATAAATATTACTATGTTTACAGTATACACAAATCTGATTAATCACAAATGTAGATGGAAACATTACTTGATTCAGTTCTAGGTAATCATAATCATAGAACATCCTGGGATCAGAATATTTTTTGTCAAATTCTTCCTTCCAGTTGTATCAGCAAGTTCTCTTGAGACTGACAGACTGCCTAAAGGGACACTGCTGCTGTTGAAAAGTTACAGATAACATCAATATATTAGCTTTCCTGGGAATTAACATGATGCCAACCTGCGATAAATCCATCTCCCCGCTGTCTGCTCTGAATTGTTCTGTTCTTCGCCATACAAGCTCTGCAGATGAGCGACTTCAGATTCTGGAACTGTGTACATAAAAATCCCTGCAGACAGTGGGCATAACGTTAAAGTCTGAAGTAGTTCTCTTTTTCTTGTTAAGAGTAACAGGAATAGACTGCTTCAATAGCAGTTAAAACCATTTGGGTAGTTCAGCCTTGTATCTATCTGAAAGTGCAAGACTTTTCAATCTGTTATTCCCCAGAAACAAAGTTAAAATATATCTTAACAGAGAAGACTTTTGTGGGAGTTGTTTTATTTTCTCTCTTTCTTGGTAAAGTTTGCTTTGATTACTCACGTTATAAAGTGCTTTGCCTCTGCAGACAGATCTGACTAGATCTACTATTGCCTTATTTCAGGAAGAAATGGTTATGGTGACTCGATCAAGTCTGGTGCATAGATACGTGTTTTTTTACAGAGATGAAAAATGAATCAGAAGAAATCAAATCTATGTATTTTACTCAAGAGATCCCAGCAAAAAAATTGCACAATAATTTTGGTAATATTTTAGATATCTGTCAAGCAACAGAGATTTGAAGACTTGAGGGGATTAGGCACCTCAAACTTGATCAGCTCCTAAAATTTTACCAACATCTATCAGTTTTAATTTGGGGCAAGAAGAAGGATTGCGATTGGACTGATGTAGGGACTTTGGTTACAGGCTGCTTGATGAGTCTCACAAGGATGAACCGACTTTTAGGGCCCCTCTAGACATTCAGGTAGAGGAGTGATAGGATCTGATGCGTGATCCACACAATTGCACCTTTTGCCATGCCACTTGTACATGGCAGGAGGCGTGATTGTGGGATCCAGGATCAGATCCTATCATGCTTTAAGTGCCAGTGCATGGGGAGCCCAGGATCACTATCATATCACTCCAGCATATCAGTAACAAGCCGCCATAGCTGGGAGTCCTGTCAGCTGACAAGACTCCCAGCTGACAGTGCCCCACAGACTGCTGTGGCTGGGAGTCTCATCAGCTGATGAGACTCCCATCTGTGGCAGCACCCCACAAGCTGCAGCAGCTGACAGGGCTCCTAGCTGCCGGCACACAGACCCTGCTACACATGCAAATTAAAGTTGGACAGAAACCAGCTATAAAGTTATTACACATTTTCCAGCTCTAACTTCAAGCTAGTTGGACCTTTTTAAGGCATGATAGTTAATTTGCACGTGTAGTCAGTTTAAATTAACTGTACAATTAACCAGGCAATTGCATAATACATGTAACATGTAGAGGGGGCCTCTCTCAGGGAAAAAAATCCCTTCAATAAATAGAAGAAGACCCTTCTCTATGAATGACTACTTGATTAGGTGAAAAACCAATGGTTGGCAAGACAGCCATTGATTAGAGAGGTTTTACTAACTTACGGTAGAGCTCAAATCACTGAACTCTCAGTGACTATTCTGAACAAATTTTCAAAGCTAGGAAACCTGTCTAGTAAAATAGCTTTATTCACAATTTGTAGATTTATTTTTCAACATATCCATTCATATTTTGTGAATAACTCCCACTAATGCTAATGGGAAAACCCTCTCATTGCATTCTTGGGAGAATAAACTCAGAATGTGATTATGAAGACTGCCTGAAAGTCATGATATGACCAAAAAAGGGATAAAACATACAATTCATGCTGAGTCTGTTAGTTGTTTTTAATTAAAAGAAATAGATCATGGACATACTCCATGAATGCGAAACATAATAAAACACTAATTAAGTGATAAAATCATTACCCCTCTGTTTTATGAGGTTATTATATCCAATTTCTGTGTGGATAAACACATTTCATTATTGCTATGGAAAATCTGGCTAGTATAACAACAGTCTATTAAAAAAGCACCATATTTACCCAAATCAGGAGGACTTTAAATTTAACATGACTACTCCTCCTCCCCATCCCCACAATAATTAGATTCTATGCATGCAAAATTATACATTTCTTATAGTTTTCCACATAAAGAACCTAATTAGTGGAAGGTTGTCTTAAATTCATCCCTCACACTGCTGGTGCAGAAAGCAGAGACAGGAGGGCGGGTGGGGGTTGGAGGCCAGACCCCTACCCCTTGCTCCCCCACCTCTTGTCCCCCCCCTCCATGCCTGTATGCACCCCCTTGCCCTTTGCCTGTACCTGACCCCCCCAACTCCCTACTCCCCACCACACACTGCTCCCCCCTGCCCACACCCCTTACCTTCTGCTGCAGCTCTGCTCTGGACTGGGGCAGTCAGTAGAAGTGGTTGCCCTTACTGAACTAGCCAGGGAGAAGTGGCCATAGTTCCCAGCCAGGCTGGGTCATGGCTGGAGGGATCAGAGCTGGAGCACAAAGTAAGGCAGGGTGCAGGGGGTGGAGGAAGCAGGAGGTGGGGAGGCAGGTACAGACATGGTGGGGGGCAAGGCTGAAGTTTTTCCCCTCCCACCACAGTCTCTTCTGCAATCCCCCTGGTTGTGTGGTCCCTCCCCTGCCAAACATGCCATTCCAGTCCAGGGCAGGCAGTGGCTCAGCTCTGGCTTCAGGCCAAGGCAGGGGGCTAAAGTCAGAGCCACCGCCTGCCCTAGGCAGATACTTGAATCCAAAATTAGGCTTTTTAATACCTCTCCGCTGACTGAGGGTGGGGAGGGGAAAGAACTCATCTTGAATTTGAGTAAATACATTGATATCTTTTTAAACTTTAATAGAAACTTACATCTAAACCTTTTTTTAAAAACAATTTGTAGTGGCTGTTAAAGCTACTTTGGGCTGCTCTACACACAGACTAGCACCAAAATGGTTAAATCACTTTTCATTTTCAACATTATTTCTGGGGAAGGTGGGCCAATTCTTAGCACGTTCAGGGAATTACAAGCTCACAGTCCAACTAGATCACATCCTGATCTTGACTGCCATTTACCTAAAGCTGGTAGAGTTCAAAAACAACTTTAACCTGGTCTAGCAGCAGGAAGTTCTACAACCAGTGCTCCCAAGCCACCAGAGCACGTGCATCTCCACAGTTCTGCACAGTTCCATTAAGCAGCTGGGCTGCCAAGGTGCAAAATGCAGAACAGGAAGGGACTGGAACACCTAGCTCAGCATGGGGATGTCTTCACAAACTTTCAGCTTGCTGCTGGGCAGTAGCAAAAACCTAAGTCTAGTCAACTGAGGTTGAGCAACCCTGTTGGCGGAACGTGATTTTTGTCATGTTTCGTCGTGTGG